CAACCAGCTGAGCCACCCAGGCGTCCCATGTATGGGTCTATTTTTATCTATTTTTCTGGGCACTTCAGTTCCTTTAAATCTAGAAGCATATTGTTTAGCTCTAGGGAATTTTCCTGAATTATGGCATTGAGGATTTCCTCAATTCTGTTAAAATTTTTTTTCTCTTTCTGAACTCCTATGATTCAGAAATTAGACATGGGCATATCTTCTAATTCTTTATGTTTCTCTCCTATTTTCCATTTCTTCATCTTTGGGCTCTTTTTTTTCTGGAAGTGTTCCTTGACTTTATTATTCAAACTTTTTACCGAGTTTTACATTTTTGCTATCACTGTTATTTTTTTTTTAATTTCAAAGAGCTCTCTTTTATTCTCTGAAAAAAAAAATTTTAATATAGTATCCCAGGAGCACCTGGGTGTCTCAATCAGTTGAGTATCTGACTCTTGTTCTCAGCTCAGGTCATGATCTCAGGGTCGTGTGATCAGGCTCCACGTTTGGTGGGGAATCTGCTTGAGATTGTCTCCCTTTCCCTCTGCCCACCAACCCCCCTCCCCCTGCTCTTTCTCTCTCTTTAGGATAAATGAATAAATCTTTAAAAAAATATACAGCCTCCTCTTCTTATTTCAGGGTTGTAACATCTTTTCTTATCATTTTGAAAATATTAGTGATAGTTTGTTGAAAATTTCTTCTCCTCATACAATCTCTCTCTCTCTTTTTTAGGTTGCTTTTTTGTCTGTGTGTTTTTGTCTGTGTCTTCCAAGTTAGAAGGTTTCCTCAGGTTCACATTATTCCTCAAAGTTTCATACCCAAAAGCTAAACACTAAAATGCTGACTGAAAGCTCTGAGTGTGTGGTGAAGCTTCAGTGTAAGGCCCTCTACTTGGGGAATCTCAATATCAATACCTTCACATCTCTCCTTCTAGGCTGTTCAGAGAGCCTGGAGAAGACCACCAATCTCCTACCCAGAGGATGGCCTAGTGGCCAGTGTTCTGAGAATTGAGTGAGAACAGACCACACATCCATTTCATCCTACTTTGGACAGTCCTATAGCTCTGTCTGAAACCAGGCCTTGTAACTTCACAGCCCTCTATCTATCATACTCAGAGAATAATTTTCTGGCTTTTTCCATTTGGGGGAAGGGCAGGAGATGATCTGGGTAGTTTCTAACATAAACTTTCAGCCAATCCTCTTTATTTTAGCATAAAACATTCATCAAAATAGACAATAATCTAGGCCATAAAACACATTTTTATACATTTAAAAGAATAGAAATCATAGCTCTCAGACCACAGTGGAATAAACTAGAAATCAGTAATAGAAAGAGCTGGAAAATGCCAAAATACTTGGAGATTAAGCAACACACTTCCAAATAACACATAGGTCAAAGAAGAAATCTCAATAGAAATATAAACATATTTTGAAGCAAACAAAAATACAACTTAACAAAATTTGTGGGATGCTGCCAAAGCAGTGATAAGAGGGAAATGCATGTATTAACCTTCCACCTTAGGGAAGAAGAAGAAGAAGAAGAAGAAGAAGAAGAAGAAGAAGAAGAAGAAGAAGAAGAAGAAGAAGAAGAAGAAGAAGAAGAAG